CCCCCCCCATGGGTTAATAAATGAAAGCCCCTTTATTCACCTGGTAAGAGCTTTGCATTTGGAAAAAGTTCTATCTTTTTAATTCTAGTTTGAGCAATAACTTCTTCAAGATCAAGATGAGTTAAGCCTAATTCTTCTAATAAAAACTTGATTGCAACAATTTCTGGCTTTCCCATCATTTTTACTTTGGTGGCCATGGTAAATTCCTTGCTGTACTGTTTGAGAAGATGCTGGAAAATTTCTGTATATATTGACTCTGTATCTGTAAGAACACAAATAACTGTGAGTCATACATGCCATGACTTTGACTAACCCAGAGGTTGTTTCAGAGTTTGAAAATAATGATGTTTGTGGTGGAAGAAAACTGGACAGGAGAATCCCAAGATGTGATAATCCTCATAACACAGGAGAAAACGAACAACAAACTCTATAGATCAGATATGATAGCAGGACAATGGATTAACCCAGTCACATGTTAAACAGCACCTATATAGTGAAATCATTAAAACCTGTGCAATAGATATTAGATTGATAAACATTAAAAGACACTAATCAGTGAACTATTTTGTTTGTGTCTGCTTGACTACATTGACTAGTATTTTTTATAAAATTCTCGTCTTTTAAAACCTCTGGAGCCCAAAGTACAAAATTAAGTGTACCCTAGCTAGACCACAAKGCACCATGTTTGCTAGGGATAAATTGTATTTCTTTTGTTTCATGTACATGCTTTTGGCACAAAAATCCTGCCAAATCTACAGTTACTGTAGCTGTAGTATATTTATTTAGTGAAACGTTTTTGATCCCTCCCCCTACCCCTCTCGCTACTCCCTTGGACACTAAAGACTCATATCAAGCTGTAAGGACTATACTAGCGACTGATACTGAGGAGACAGCCTATTGGGGGGTTATACACACCTTTCACCCTAATGGCAAAATCCTGCATACACCCATCCCTTGTATCTGCATTTAGTTTAATCAGTGACAGATCTATTGGGGTTGGAATCCCAATAAATATTCTACCATAATAAGTACAGAAACACGTTTTACCTAGTAGAAGTCCATCTAGATCAAATATAACGTGAGTGCATCTCGCGTCCGCCATTTTGAATATCAAGACCGCGGTGAACTGGGAGAGAGTAAAAAAAACAACAAGATGGCGGCCGCATCGAGTCGAATTGTGATGGTTCGTAACCTTGGAAGAATAGCATATTTAGATGCCTTGAGAATCCAAAAAACACTAGCCAGACATCATTTAGACTTTAAAAAGGATAAGTCGTCAATAAGACCAAGGAATGTCCTATTTATTTGTGAGCATAACCCAGTTTATACGATTGGAATTCGGAACAAAACGTTTGGTGAAGAAGAGAAAAATAAACTGAAGAAACTGGGAGCAGAATTTTATACGACAGATAGAGGAGGTTTGATAACATTTCACGGGCCTGGACAATTAGTTTGCTATCCTGTCTTGGACTTGGGGGATTTTAAAAAGAGTATTCGGTGGTATGTGAGGAGTTTGGAAGACGTTCTCATTGACACTTGTGCGAGGTATGACGTAGAAGCTGGTGTAACTGATGATACAGGAGTGTGGGTAGAAGACAGAAAAATCGCTGCCATTGGTAAGATTGATTTTTTAGTCTATTTTTTTCACCTTTTATAGCTATTTGTGTTAAACATTTTATAAACCACAGGTAGCCCAAGCTAAGCTCTTTGTCTATCTTCCTGTCTGTCTGTCTGTTCTCTATTAACAAAATGAAATGCGCTCAAGAGACATTTAGAAGGAATGCAGGCTAAGAACATATAAGCAAACAATTAGTTAGAAATATTTAGTTGGGTACTGGCAGCTCAGCACCAAAACAACCAGTTGACCCAAATCCAGTCTCTCCCCCTCCCTCTCCCCCTTCCTCTCCCCCTCCCCCTCCCCCTCCCTCTTCCCCTTCCTCTTCCCCTCCCTCTTTGCCTCCCCCTTCTCCATCCCCCTCCCCCTACATCTGAGATCTGTCACATATAATGAGGAGTAAGTTGAAGTAGTCTTACTGATCCTTACTTTTCCATGTGTAATTTGTTAAAGGAGTGCAAGCAAGTCGCTGGGTCACAACCCATGGAGTGGCCTTGAACTGTAACACCGATCTAACTTGGTTTGACCATATAGTGCCCTGTGGAATCGTGGGTAAAGGTGTGACATCCTTATCTTTCGAATCCAAATCAGAAATTAACATTAATGATGCAACAACACATTTTTTAGCTAGTTTTTCAGATGTATTCAACTGTCAATTAAGACACTTTCAAGAACTTTCAAATGAAAGTATCCTTGTTTTTTAAATAATTAAAAGTGAAATTTTGTGGTGATTGATTATGGCTTGGCTTCAGGCTAAACAAATTAATAGTTGAATTTTGTGTCATTGTATTTTTGGAAGGAATAAGCTTCCCGATCAGTCTGTAATTCCACCCGGGATAGCGGTGTTGGGGCCGAAATCTCCAGCGTAGCCGTAAGTCCATACGACGGTTCAGCACTCGATGTATGGAAGTATGGTCCTGGTTAATTAATAATCAAAAATATAAATAATTCCAAACTTATAGCAGTCTCCATGGCAAATGAAGTTTCATTTCGTTGAGGAAGTTAAATCCAAGTGGGAAATACACGTTTAGATCAATTTCATCATTTCCATTTTTCTCTCGAGCTACTTTTTATAGTTTTCATGTTACTTTTACTAACATTCATCATGTTAACAATTATAGTACGTCCGTTGATTTTAAAAATCTTACAAATATAAGTAATATTTGTTATTCGTTGGGAGTTATCAAAAGATTTCAGCGATCTATTACGCAATATATTAGCTGTATACTTTTCGGGCCAGTAAAGGCTGATTTACATGTACAGTGAACAATATTTGAAATCACGTATCACCTCATCTATGAAGGTTTTTTGTGGGGGTTRTATATCCTAACTCAAAACCAAATTCAACTCATGCACTAAATTTAAATTTAGAATATCATGACCTCTTTGCTTTCCTTTTTTTAAGTGCTGTAGTTTCAAAATGAGTGATATTATATTAATAACAGTGCAGGGCCGTGACGAGGGAAAAAATTAACTTGCTTGGGATCGAGATCACACAAGAAAGATTGGGATTTCATGGTTAAATTCACAGGGATGAAATAATTTTTCTGGGATCGATCGAAAGGTCATCACAAGAAATGTTATACCTCGTCACGATCGCAAACTGAAGACAACGTTGCCTATGGCTGATGAAGGAACAAGGCAATTGACGCAAGCTATTTCTAACGTGATAGATACTTTTAATTTGTCCAAATAGTAAAAAGTGTTGTCTTGCCGCTTGTTTGAATGAGCCAAGATGGCGTCCCTGACGCCATCCACAATAGCTTTGTTCAAACAAGTGAACAAATATGATGAGATCATCTATGAGGTAGCTAATAGAGAACGGTGTCATCATCGAGACTTCAGGTTTCATTCTGCATAACAACCATAAAATTCCAGGCGGATTGCACTCCTTGTATGTTTGCCCAGTAAGGATACGATAAGATACCTTGCTACAAATGCTGGCTTGAAAGTGTGTTGKACTATCGTATTCCTATCAGAATTGCCTCGAAAAACCTGCACATGAGAAATAAATGTATTTTTTAATAATTCGATAATTCTAATCTATTCCCAAAATATCAAAACACTGCTTGATCCCATACCCACGAGACATCCGTAGAAGCTGAGGCGCCATATCGACTTCGGACCTGACCGCGGCAATTGAATCCGATCCGCTTTTATTTAGTCTACGGATCAATACTGGCCATTCCGAGGTTGAGAAAAAAATTTGGCCGAGTTGCATTTCAGTGCCGGCATTGTTGGGCTGTTTTAGGGGACATATTTCGATCCAAGATGGCGTCTATTCCGTCCCCTAAATAGTACCACAATGCACTGCGATGACAATTCGGCTCATTTTCATCATCCTCGGAATGACTAATCTCGAAAGATTTTCCCATTGGTCTTAGTAATACGGGGTGTTCATGGGGTTTAACAGTTAACTGACAATTGGTCTAAGAAATAGTAGTTAACTGACAAATATCCTAAAATTAGTAGTTAACAGTTAACTGACATTTCATTATTTTAGTTAATATTATGGTCTGTGCTTGTAAAATTATAAATGATAGTCATCTGACAGCCACCATCTAAGTACACCTCTAATTCAAGAAGCCGTTCTCGTATCCAGACTTTACTTGATCCTGGGTACGAGAATGCACAAGAACTCATTGCTGGACAAACAAATACCTTGGGTTGTCCAGTGTCATTGTCCGTATAATCAGTCCACGATACTCTGTTCAAACTGTATTTCACCGAATATGATGTAGTCCACCAGTCATACTCTGGGCTGCCTTGAGTTGCTATCTTCGTAATCATTCTACTTCTCGGACCCACATTGATTTCCAGGAAGGGACTGGTGTCCAGTAACGAACTGACCCAGGCAGAAGACCCCTTGAGTCTTGCCATGTATGGATAGAAGAAAGTAATCATCCATTGGCCATTAGACGTGCCAGTTATTTTGTCGTTAGGCAAGCGGTTGTCTGACAAACCGACATGTGGTGAAGAGCATTCTGGGTATTATGAAAGGGAGGGATCAATGTTACACAGGTAGCCCGAGCCTTAAGGTACTTTGGATTCTGACTCATATGCAGATGATCCAAGCATTTGCATTAAAACGAGAGACGATGTCTACAAAATAGCCCACTTCCGACCCGAGACATGCATCGCTTTTCTTGCATAAAGGTTTCGATGTGAGGCTTCATGCATAATGCTCAGTGGTCGACTCGTGACAAAAAAWATATATATATTTGATTTAGCACGGAGCCTGGTACTGAAACCCTTGTTTGTGACCAAAAAAAAAGCATATCTCGGAAGTCGGCTATTTATTGCTAGCTTACATGGCTTAATCTCGTCCCCAGAGCCTGCGTTACTCTTGGCCAGTTCCTCTCGGCGGTGCAGGCTCTGGGGACGGATYGGTCAAGGCTGAAAGACGTTGCGCATGCGCCAAATTGTCCAAAAAACAACAACAACAAACAAACAAACATGGCCGCGCGCTGTAAAACTTTTCGTCTAGCTCAAAAATTGGTCAAGTTTTTTCTCTTTTTCTTTTGAGGGAAAAGGAATTATACTACTGCATGTTCTGCATATGCTCGAGTAATAGATTGAAAATATCTTTTTCATATCCTTCAAGAAATTAGCTTATTCTCTGCAGCCCAGTTTGTTGCTGATTTTGAGATTTTTTCAAAGCCATATATAGGCTAGGCATTTTGTATAATAAGCAGGTGAGCCCGTGATTTTAACAACGCAAATTGATTCGTTTTCCATCCCTGTCTCACCGTCTTTCCGCGTACTTTCAAATTTAATAATTTGTCTTACCTTCACAAAGGTCACCGACATAGTGATCCCGACAAAAACAACGGTATCCCGGTGATTGCGGGACATTGACGCACGTCCCGCGGTTCCTACAGGGCATATTGCCCGAGCAAGACCCTGCTGGTCTAGATAGATGCTCCATGTATACAGAATCCGGGGTGTATATCAGGTCCGATGGATGAGACACTCGTGTTGTGTGGCACAATTCACATGTCCCTGTGCTGAATATATAATTGATACTGTAGCAAGCAGGATCATGGTCACACGTGACTACACACGTGATTACGTCCTTGTCTTTCACAGTCTTATAGGCGTGACCTTTCAGTGTATATCTATCTATAGATGTGACTGAACGACACTCGTTTGTGCAGGAAATCCTGATTATTGTCTGTATTGATATAAATCCGAGAACCATGAACCAGTTAAACTGCTGATCTGTGATGCAACGTGAGATTGTTGAGAGGAGTAATGAAGTCTTGATAGCTAGAGTAGACATCGCTGCAACTAAAGGGGAAACCAAAAGCAATCAATGTTAAATTCAATGAACTACTTCTTGTCACGCATTCACAAGTCACAAGTCACAAGTCACAAGTCACAAGTCACAAGTCACAAGTCACAAGTCACAAGT